ATAAAATATTTGATACTAGTCTGGTTTTGAAAATGCTATTGAGACAATAAATACATCTATAATATTCAACTAGTTGTCTACCCGCGCAATGCGGCGGGATGTAAAGGTTCTATAAGAATATATTCAATTGTTAGATATCATTTTTTGCAGAACATCTTTGAAATAGTTGGGGTTCACATCTATATCAAAATTCAAAAATGAAAAATTAAAAAATATGAAGCCCTGGTCTTGGAAAAGTTTGGGCCACACAATGTGCTACTAAGTGTAACTCATTGTGATATAATCGGGTGAAAGAAAGAGATTGTGATGCATAATAACCCAAACATTTGTTTCTCAGCTAGATGAACCTTTGAAAATATTGTTGATAGAATATAACCCAACATTAGAACAACATAAAACATTTTATCTCAATAGAAAACTTTGAAAAAAAAATATATATTTATGAGAGAAATAATAATAGATGAATAAAATATTTTAATATTATGATAAATATTGGATTTTCTAAAATGAAGAATCTCTTGAAAATAGGATTAAGACTTTTGAGACRTTTATCAAATWTGATTAGTAAATTACTATAGTTATASATTTGGAAAGAAAATTAAGAATGGTTGAAAAGGGAATAAAAAGGAGGAAGGGATGGTGAGAYACATCGCAAGGAAACCGGGACAGACGGGCAGCAGCAGAAYATTTTACCATCTGACCCCCACCATCAACAACAAATGGGAGGATGAGATAGTAAGGGGAAAATACCATGCATGATATCATCACTTTTCCCAAGGTTGTTCAATAGCAACACAACGACGTCGCTTTTTTCTTATAATAATAAATTCYATATATATTTTTATTAATTTCACAAACCAGAATATATTAAAATTATATGTAYAACAAATTATGAKCTTTTTCCCACTGTAWATATAACCAATCTTTCCTACTGGATTGATTTGGTCACAGACAAAGAAATAGAAAATGTTTACTGAATGCTTATTGGTAAGCGTTTATTGAGTGTCACTTACCTTATCATATAAGTATTACAAGGACTCGCAATCTTACTCAGTAAGATGTATAGCAGGAACCAAGAATCCTACCCGGTAATTGAAGAAAAAGACTTTACCCGGTTAATACTTATTGGATAAAAAGTTTTTGCGAATGATCCATTTCGATGGCCAAAAATGTTTTGAGATAAGTGAGAGTGGTGATTATTGACGATAAGTATTCACCCAATAATCGTTTGGTTAGAGAAAAACAAAATAAAGTGCGTAACGATTTTTCTCAATATGTACTTATAGTGGATAACATAACTGATTAAAATTAATGAGCTCCAAACTATTTTATCCTTTTTCTAATTGCAGTATGAATCCCAGCCATAATCAACTTGAATTACATACAGAATTACCAGAAACAACAACGAAAATTCACAAGTTTCTTGACTTATTGAGTCGTGCCATATGATGTCCACCCGGTTGCCACACCATTC